ATAGCAATGAAGGAGGAGAGTGGCTCCTCGCCCGCAACCATCGACCAGTTCAATATCTGTCTGAAGCTCAAGCTGCAGGTGGCCTCCGTGCTGAGCGAGGCAACATGTACGATGGGTTCGTGCCGTGCATCGTTCACATGAGGGGTTCTCCCTGGCCATTTTCAGCTTCTACGGCCATTCAGGCATCGGGTTTCGAGATTCGAATGTTGTGCGCTTCAGGAAGCTTGGTTGCCTGCTCCGATCTTACGCCACGTGTTGCCAGTTGTCGCCGTGCCATGGAAACCTCGCATCGGTCTCAGCATCGAACTCGTCTCAGAAGGTGCACAATTGTACACTAGGTATCTTGACCTTCCTGCTCAGCTTCCGTCTGTCTGCAAGCCCCTCCGTTTGGCGACCCCTGGGTCCAAGGCCAGCGTGGCCAAAGCCAAGGGGGCGTTTTCAAGGTTGGAGGCCAAGCAGGTTCGGGACGAGCGCCTCAAATCTTGGTTCGGTCAGGGGCTCGGGCTCGAGGATAAGGAGGCGGAAGATAATCGCGGTTCAGGGTCTGGTCTCGATCCCTCCTCGCTTGCCCCCCTTTCGGCCCTCAGCGACGCGGACACCCACTTCTGTGAAGGTGGTGAACCCGACTGCTCAGGCGACGACTGGGAGGGCTGCTCGGAGGACGACCCGTGGGCGGACGAGACCGTTTTCAGACCCGCCGCGCCGCCCCCCTCTGCCGCCCCTGATCCGCGTCACACAGTCGGACAGTCAGTGGAAAGTGATTCGGTCCCGCGTGAGCCTAGTTCCCCGAGCCCAGCCGCTCAGGGGTCGTCTTCCGAGGAGCCGTCCGATACGCAAGCGTGGCAACCTGATTTTCACATTCCCAGCAGCACTTGGATTGAGCAGAGGTCGAGCGTCGGGTTCACTCCTGTCTCTTCGTGCCCTCCCGCTCCTGCCATTGCTGGTACCATAGCCTACCACCCCGGCTCAAGCGATTCGGCTGTGTTGAGCGCCCTGTACGCCAGTTGGATTCGCACAGTCGAGGTTTCCATATACACTCATCATAAGCAGGCTTTCACTGGAGCGCCCCGCAGTGTGGCACCTCAGTTTCAAGCGTCAACTGTTCGTCAAGGCACTCCGTCACGCATAGCGCCACTACGTGACCGAGTCTGCAGCTGGTGGACACGTGCCAGTACAGTCATTAGCAGTATCACACGACACCTTCGACGTGCAGGAGGTGAGAAGCAGTTAGATATCCTGTTCGACTCAGGCCGACGATTATTGGAGGACATCCCCGAGAGAGCTGCAGAGATCATTCGACACACAGACAGCTTCTCTTGGGATTATTGGCATCACCTCCTTGGTCATTTGCGCAGTAGCACGCTGGCCACCTTGGACGTCAGTGCCCAGGCCATCGAGAAGCCAGCGGCTCCCAGTCAACGACGTGCTATTGGACAGGCCATGGGAGAGTTCAGAGAATGGGCCGAGACGGCACCAGCATTAGGCATTCTTCATAAAAAGTTGACAGAACCGATGCCAGAGGTTAAGAAAGTTGTCGTTGACGGCAAACCGATTTTACATCCAAAGGACGTCTTGGATCACAAGAGTCACGAGTGGGAGAAGATCTGGGCTCCATCATTTTTATCAGCCAACGGGTCCAGCATCGAGATTGAGGGCTTAGAGCAGTTGTTTGATGACATTCGTGGACGCGTGAGGTACGAGTCTTTGCCCCCGCTGACAGTCACCGACTTGCGAGAAGCCTTGAAGTCCATCAAGGCATCGGCGGCGATGGGGGTGGATCGCCTCAGCTCGAACGACTTGCTTCGCCTACCCGATGAGGCCTTGCAGGAGCTGTCGACCTTGCTCAATGTGTGCGAGGCCACGCAGTCCTGGCCACACCAAGTCTTGCTCACCATCGGAACCCTTCTTCCAAAGAAGGTGAAAGGAGACAGAATTATAGGCCTGCTACCACACCTGCCAAGGGTGTGGTCGCAGGCACGGGAACCATATGTGAAGCAGTGGACCTCTGAATGCGAAGCTCATTGGGACGCAGCCATCAGAGGAAATTCAGCAGTGAGAGAAGTTTTCTTGCGAGCTATCGATGAAGAGCTCGCAGCTCGGCTCCATGTTCAGCTGGGCAACGGCTTGCTCGATATCAGCCAGTTCTACGACACCATAGGGTGGCTGATGGTGGGCAGAGCGGCTATGAGGCTTGACTTCCCAGCCGAGGTGCTGGGGCTGGAGTTGATGCAGTGCATGGCGGCAAGGTGTTTGAGGCAATCTGGTACATATTCGGAGCCATTCGCTCCACTTCGTCCAGTTGTTCAAGGCCTCCGAGGAGGCACTAGATTTGCCAAGTGTGCGACGTACCACATCATGCATCGGCTCACGACGGTGCACGTGGGCATGGCGCAGCGACTGTGGCTGGATGACCTCAGCCAGTCAGTCAAGAGCACTCGGGAGACGATGCGCAACAAGCTAGTGAGGTGCCTTGTCGACACCTGCCGCTCGATGAAGCGAGCGGGGCTGGCCATCTCTCCCAAGAGCGTGGTCGTCTGCGCGAAGCTGGATGACGCCAAAATCATTGCCAGGCGAGTGCGTGCCACGGGTTTCAGGTTCGTGCAGTTTCCCAGGCGCCGTACTTGGGGGCCGACCTGGGGGGGGGATCTCGGCATGCTCGCGCGTGCAGGACTGCTCGGCAGGCCAAGCACACGGCCATGCACAAGCGCGTGATCAAGTACGTACGAGCTACTCGGCGCTACGGCCTCACCTCGAGGCTGGAGCAACAAGGTGCCCAAGCTGCTGGATCATACGGGCACCAGCTCCATGGCGTTTTCGGCGATGCCATGACTCAATGTCGCAGGAAGTTAGGCAACGCTCTCGGCCCCAAGATGTCGGGCAGATGCTTGACGACCCTGATCGACTTGAAGGCAGCAGGACGCGACCCAGCATGTAAGATGCCTCGCGAGTGCCTGCGGCTATGGCTTTCTTGTTGGACACGACAGCCGAGCATCCGCGACGGCATCAATCGTACGTGGCCTACCTTGGTTCGTGATTTGTCGGCAGTCCCTCAGGCTCAGCGTGCCAGGCACATTCGAGGGCCCCAAGGAGCCGTGATATGCTACCTGCTGCAGGCTGGATGGCGGCCTGTTTCTCCTACATGTTGGATCACACCTAGTTGTGGCGACGGGCTCGAGCACAGTTGGCAGTTCGGAGTCGATCAGCTCACAGGTGTTGACAATATAGACATGCCCAATGAGTTCTTTGAAGAATATGAGCGCACTGTGTCTGCAGGTCTCTGGCAACGAGCAGCTCAGCATTACGAAGGTGCAGGGCTCGAAGCTGGAGCTTGCAACCACTCGTGCCGACGACTCCTTCAGCATCTTGAGGGCGCACCAGGAGGTCGTCGCCTCGCGGGCCTGATGCTGGCGATTGCTGTTGGGGCCACGTGGCCACGAATGAGACGGCAGGAGCGAGCCAAGCAGGAGATGTCATTGGATTGCCTTCGATGCCGTCGTCATAGGGAGACAGCCTTTCACCGTGTTTGGGCCTGTGAGGGCAAGTGTCAGCACGACATTTATGGTCTCACCGAGAAGTACGTGGGGGAAGCCTATGCGCAGGGGGAGGCAGATGCCTGCTTCTGGACGCGAGGCCTCATACCTTCAGCATGGTTGGCAGTGGAGTCCCCTCAGAGTGACGAGTCCTGGAATACGACTGGAGGCGAGTACGTCGACGGCTGCTTCGGGGAGGGCACGCAGGAGGAGCCACTATACGTTTTCGGGGACGCCAGTGGCGGCCCAGAGAGCAAGGACCCGCGGCTACGGAGAGTTGGCTGCGGTCTTGCTTGCTACCACGACCTGTCTGAGAACATGGAGCTGTTCTTGGGAGTGTGGGGAGGACTTCCAGGAGTGCGACAAACAGTTCCACGAGGTGAGCTTCTCTCATTTTACCTTGCCCTGCGGTGCAGCGCGGGGCATGTGGTTTACACGACTGACAACGAGAGCGTGATCATCGGTTGGTACACTCAGAAGTATCGTAACCCAGTTGGACACGACAGTGATTTGTGGTGGAAGATCGGACAGCATCTTGACGCACACCCCAGTTTGCAGTGCACAATGTTGTTCGTCCACTCCCACCTCGAGGCCCTGGACCTGCTACAAGGCAAGGCGCCCAAGCTGCTCGCCACAGGCAATACCGCGGCTGACGCCTTTGCCTCGACCGCAGCGGACAGGGCCAGAGTGTCGGGTGCAAACAGAGCGAGAGTGCATCAGATCGAGAATAAAGCGCTCTTGGTTCGCATGAGAATTCTGCAGAGTACAATCGAAGCATTGGCCAGTGAACAGGAGCATGAGAAAAGCCTTGGTAGGAAAGCTGCCCGTCGAGCCCAGCCTAGGCCTCCTGCCCCATCCATCTGTGCTATGCTTTCGTCTCAGCATGTCCTATGCGAATCTAATGTCAATAAGTGCAGTAGGTGCAAAGGCACGGCCACTAAAGCGAAGCGTAAGGACTGGCTAACCTCCCCCTGTTTCGAGCTAGTTAATGTGGACGGGGCTTTCTTTGACCCCCCCCCTGGGCGGCGGGTGCATATAGCGGGGGGTTTTCCCGACCCAAGTCATAATTTGAGGCATCACGCGGGACTGTGAGTTTGGTTCTGTTCAGCGTTCGGGTTCTATGCAGCTCAGCAGCTTAAAGAACTAGCAAAGCCGTGTGTTGGCCGAATCGAGGGTAATCGTAACGTATACCTCGATCGGATTTCCCGTGGAATTTGGCCTAAGGCTTACAGCAAAGCCGAGCTAGCCAAGAAGCAGAAATCCAGTGTTTAATTCTGTCACCCCGACCTAGTCGCTATATCCAGAGCTCCAGAGTTCCTCCTCCTCCTCCTCCTCCTCCTCCTCCTCCTCCTCCTCCTCCTCCTCCTATCCTCCCCCTCCTCCACCTCCTCCTCCTCCTCCTCCTCCTCATTCCTCGTCTTCGTTCCCCCCCCCCCCCCCCCCCCCGGGGTCCCCGCGCCTCTCGCCCAGGCGAGGCGGCAACCGCGCCAGCCGCCCCCCAGAAGGCGGCCGTGGCGCAGGGCGCGCGCGGCACGCCCCTCGGCCCCGACGCCGCTGGGGGCGCCTCGGGGCCCCAGGAACGCCGCCGCCGCGCCGTGGGCCTCTGAGTGCGTCGCTCCGATCGGGTGGCGCTCAACGTCGGCGGGCGGCAGGGCCCTCGGCACTCCTCGCTCCACCTCCACGCCGGTCGTCGATCCTCTTCGATCCTCGATCCTCCCTGCCCCGCCCCCCCGGCGGGCGACGGCGAGGCGGACGGGGAGGAGGAGGAGGAGGAGGAGGAGGAGGAAGAGGAGTATGAGGAGGAGGGGGAGGAGGAGGAGGAGGAGGAGCAGGAGCAGGGTCGCAGGGACGCAGCTGATGGCGGGCAGGTGGCATCACCAGCACGCATCGTGAAAGAGACGGAGGCAGGCCCGCCGAGCAGCAGCCGCGCGGCAGCGGCCCGAGGCCCAGAGCTCTCCACCCCAGCGCACGGGCCACGGCCAGGCACCGGCAGGGAGAGCGGTGACAATCGCAGATCACGACCTCCGCGAGTAGTGTACTCCAGATTTCGTAGTAAAAGGGAGGGGGTCTGGACCCTCCGAGACAGGCCATTTCAGACCTCCCCCGTGGGAGGACCCTCCGAAACATCGTCCCCAGACCCCCCCAGGCCCTCCAAGATAGCCTGGAAGAGACCCCCCCCGAAATGAGACCCCCCTCCCTGTATTACGAAATCTGGAGTACACAGACGGATATGAGACCGCATCGGTGCACGCACGAAACTGGAATGAAGACAAGTGACGACGGGCAGCAGCTGCAATCCCGGCGTGCCATGTCGGGCGTGATGCCAGGGCCACGAAGGAGCATTTGGATCAGCTGCTCTGCGTTCTCTGCACCTCAGAGGCAGCGTCAGGGCTCGCTCTCGGCACCATCGGGCCGTCGACGGTGCCATCGAGCCTGTTGTCCTCCCCGCGCTCTCGGTGCTCTTCACCAGCATGGCCTCCAGCTGGTTGCACAGACGGTTGCTGCGCACCACCAGGAGCTCCGTCACCTCCACGCTCCGCATGTGCAGCACCAGGCAGCACTCCATCCGAAGCTCGAGGGACATACCCAGGATCGAGGTCAGCGGCCGTCTTCTCGATCTTGGTTGTGTCGTCTAAGCACATGGTCTCAGACATCTCGTCGGGCACGGGCTTCACGTCGCAGCTCGTCTGGTTGCACACCTCCTTGTCGATGTCCTCCAGGACTGTCTGCGCGCATTGCACCAGCTCGACGACACCGTCGTTCCTCCTGCAGCTTGTCCTTCTGCAGGGTGTGGCGCACGGTGTAGCTGTTGTCCTGTCCGAGGAAGCGACCGAATCGAGATGCGGGGAGACGCAAACTATGCGTAGGCTTGGGTCAGTCAGGACGCTGTCGAGCCAGGTCCTGAGACGACGCAGCACGATGTGCGCAGCGTCATGGTGTCGTAGCCTCTCCTCGATTGTGTCGTCCAAGCCACTAGACTCTGACTTCTCGTTTGGCACAGGCTTCACGTCGCAGTGCGAGGGGAGGCACACATCCTTCTCCAGCGACGAGTCGATGTCCTCAAAGCAGGTCTGCGTGCTCTGCGCCTGCTTCAACGTTTCGCCATCCACGCATTGGTCCTGCATCTTGTCTTCCTGCAGGTTGTGGCGCACGGTGTAGATCTTATCCTCCTCGGAGATCAGGTCCGAAGAGGAGCCAGAGTCGAGGTGCGGGGAGACGCCATTCTGTTCCAGGCCCTGAGCGGTGTGCACACTCTTGAGCCAGTTCTTGGTACGCTGCAGCACGCGGTGTGCAGCTCCAGGACGTCGAAGCCGCGCCGAGGCGCCGTCCAGGGCTCGGCAATCTCGCGCCAAGTCCGACGGCGGGCGCTGTCCGTCCGCGCGAAGCTGGTCCCAGCCTTTAGCCAGCGTGCTGCCGCCCACGGCGGCAACGAGTCTGGAGGGGAAAAAACACACAGACACAATTAATCGGCGATTCCCAGAAAATATGGGAAAATATGGGAAGTGGGGGGGAAGACAGAAACCCAGAAAATATGGGAAAATATGGGGGATATTTTTATTTGTGTGTATTTATTTGTGTGTCCCAATTTCCCTTCAACGAGCTCGGCAGCGGCGCCCAGGACGCCGCGGGCTGAGGCTCCCAGCACAGGAAGAGGAAGTGCAGCAGCTTGATCATCTGCAGCACTGGTGTCGGTCGGGACGGCCGCCGCGGCGGAGCGCTTGGTGACCTCAGTCATCAAGGCCGCGGCCTCATCCACCGTCCGCGCCCAGGCCACGGTAGCACCATGGCGCACGGGGATCCCGCTCTGCCGAGGCATGAATAGAGCTCGCCGGTCGCCCGGCGCGAAATGCGGCTTGAGTCGCAATGGCTACGGAGGAGGAGGAGGAGGAGGAGGAGGGAGGAGGAGGAGGAGGAGGAGGAGGAGGAGGAGAAGGAGGACGAGGAGGAGGAGGAGGAGGAGGAGGAGGAGGAGGAGGAGGAGGAGGAGGAGCGGGCCACATGGATCGGCAGTGGGAGGATCCTCAGGGAGGAGCTGGCAGAACAGAGAGAGAGAGAGAGGGCGAGCGAGAGGGCTGAGGAGGGCGAGGATAGCGAGAACGAGGAGGAGGAGGTGGAGCACACCGACTCGGGCGGAGGGGTGCGTGCCGGGCGGGCATCGGTGTCGACGCCCCTGGCGCCCTTCCCTTCCTCGCCCATGTGCTGCCAGAGGTGGCCCCCGCGTTTCGAGGGAGGCCGAGGTGGCCTCTTGGTCCGGAGCGGCGCAAGGGCGCACGCGTGCACGACTCCACACGTGTTTCGAGAGAGCGCACTGCGCGAGTCCTCGTGACGCGAGGGCAGGCTCGCGACCTGCATGGGGGACGCGGCCGGGCGCGCACGTCCTCTCCAGGTCCCCTGATCCAGAGCGCCCCTTGCCAGGCCCAGAGGGCCTCGGGGGCTCCGAGAGGGCGCGAACAAGCGGGGTGCACCCCGGGCCAGGACCACCTTTGGCAGCCGCCGGTGACCGGGCGCCGAGGCGCACGACGCGACCGCGCCAGCGTCCACGCCGGCGCCTTCCAACGCTCAGCTTCCGACGAGCGTCGGCTACGCGTAAGGGTGACTCTTCGCTGGAGTGACCGGGTCCCGCCAGCACTGGCTGGCGCGCGCGCTTGAGCTGTTTGGACTTGGCCCCTCTGTATATAGCGGCCCTCCGAAGCCGCGCACCAAAGGTCACTCTTGCCCAGGGCCCCTGGCATCGCTCGGACGTGCGCATCCTTCTCAGCGAGGCCAGCGCCAGAAATGCTGGGCCCTAATGGAGCTCCTTCGATCACCTGGATAAAAAAGCACGCACGAAACCTGACAATGCACGGGCTATTCATGGACGTCCGAGCGATGCCCAGGTCCGGACACAATATGTGACCACGACAGCCAAAGTCGGGACACATCTACTATCCGATTTGGCGCAGTTTTGCTCTGGTGGAAAAACCACAGCCCCCCTCCCGCCGCCAACGACAACCTGGCTGCCCCTTCTGTCTCAAGGACTGAAACTGATTTCAGCAAAGCACGCGCGGTGGTGGTGTATTCAATTTGGGTTGGGGAGCGATTTTACACACACACACACACCACCAAGAAGTGCTGCTTCTGGCCAGGGAGCTCCCCTGCCGTGGCCTCCGCGCGCCGCGCCGCGCTCCTCTCCGCCGCGGCGTCGCAGCGCCGTCCGGCACGACCCTGCCCCCGACCTTTCTTGCGGCCCGCTGCTGTCGCGGGCGGTGCCGGTGCGTCACACTCTGCCCCGCACCGGGGGCCGCTCCCGCGCGCGGCCCCGTGCGGCCAGTGCGGCGTCGACCGCCGCGGGCGCCGGAGTGCGCGAGCCGCCCGCGCGGGGCCGCGCGCGCGCAGGGCTCCCGGCCGCCCTGAGGCCGCGCGGCGTGCCGCGCCCGCGGGCTCGGGCCGGGCGAAAGGGGGGGATTGGGAAAGCGGGGGTTACGAAATTGTTCTGCATGCAGCTGATTTCGGCCTCACCGAGGGGCTCATTCCTCGATACATGGGCGCCTCCCGGCGCCGGGAGGCGCCGGGAAAATCAGCTACGTGAGCTGATTCTCAAACCCCCCCTTTGCTATCCCCCCCTTTCGCCCGACCCGACGGGCCCGCGTGCGCGCGGCACGCGCGAAGGCCGCCGCGCCGCCGTGCGCGGGGGCCCCGGGGCCCTCGCCGCTCGGGCGGGGGGTCGGGCCGATCGGGGGGGCAGCGAGCGTCGAAGAAGGAAAACAGCGCTGCAAACCCTTTTCGTTGGGGAGGGGCTCCGTGTTCCTTGATTGTTTCGCAGCTTGCCTTGGGTTTTCCTGAGGTTTTCGATAGGAGGTCGAGGTTCGACTTATGGAGAAAAGGGGCCTCGTTCCTTATTTAGGGTTCTCTTAGGTCAACGCCCCGACTGTACGCTTGTGGCGCTCCGCGCTGATCTCTCGGATCCGCGCTGGGACCCCCGGGCGGCGCCTCCGGCGCCGCCCCTGGGCGCGCTCCGCGCGCCCCGGGAGGGGGGCCCAGCGCAGGTCCAAGAGACCCGCGCGGAGCGCCAAAACTTTGTGGCTGTGGCGTCTTTCTTCTTCTAGAGAGGGGGGAAGGCGCAGGGAGGGGGAGGGGGAAGCGTGCCTGGCCAGGGCCATCCCTGGGGCCCCGCGGGCCACGGTGGCGCACGGGCCCACCGCCCCCCCGGCGAACAGCTCGGAGATCGAGGAAGTGCTCGGAGTTTCTTCGGGAGCCGCTCGGGCGTTGGGCAGCTGCCTGGACCCCCCCCAGAAGCCAGAGCCACCACGCGGGTGTGCGACGTTCGTCGCGCGCCGCGGCCTGGGCGATTTCAGAGCGAGGCGCGAGTCCCTCGTCGCGCAAGCGTGAAGACAGTTGCCCTAGAAGGAATCTGTAGCGTTTCCTTGGGGAGCCGCTCGGTTCCCCAAGCAGGTGCGAGGGATTCCTCTCGGCCGGCTGGGCGTGTGCGGTGCACACGCCCGGGGTGGTGCATGTTGTGCGCCGTGCCCAGGCCTAGGATGGCCTTGACCAGCAATGGTGTCAGGGGCAACGACGGGGGGGAATAGTCCCAAGGGGGGATGCATCGCCGATATGGGCCAGATAGTCCCACCCCGCCCTGGAGCGTGGGGATTTGCGATCGGAGGCCTACCGCCGAACTGTCAGTGATGTATTGCCGATTCCAGGTCGATGGTTCGCCCCCTGGGCCAGTCCCCCCTATCGTTGCCCCTCATGAAGGTGGTGTACAGATGCTCACAACTTACCGAGCCACCCAACCCTAACCTGAAGGTCTCGGACCCCCCAAAAAATTGTGGGTGGGAGGGTGTACGGATTCCACGTCGTCTCGACGTTCCAGAGCGCCCCCCCATTGGAAACTGGCAGGCCCAACGGCGACCTCGGGTTGGGTTGCGGTGGCTTGGTGGGTAGTCAGATGCCTTCTGCGGACTCCCCCCCCTCCCCCTTCCGGGGCAACGTCAGGGGATGGGACAGGCGCAGGCGAGGATGCCACGACCCCCAGTCTCCCACGGATCGCCGACAGAGGGCATGGTATAGTCAGGAGGGGAAAAAACACACAGACACAATTAATCGGCGATTCCCAGAAAATATTGGAAAATATGGGAAGTGGGGGGGAAGACAAAAACCCAGAAAATATGTGAAAATATGGGGGACATGTTTATTTGTGTGTATTTATTTGTGTGTCACAGTTCCCCTTCATACAGGAGCGTGCGGATTTGCAACCGAGGGCCTATCGCAGATCCATCGACGATGGATGCATCGCCGATTCCAGCTCTGCATGAGCCGGCCCCCCCTAGCGTTCCCCCTCTCCGTTGGGGAGCCCTCCAGCTCCGCGCGCCCCCTCTCACTATATTTTGCACCTTCGGATGACCTCTGCCGCCCTGAGAGCGGCAGTCCTCTCTTGCACTCCGGCGTGGGTGCGACGCCAATCGACGTGCATCTGACGTGGAGCTGGCACGGGGATGAGGCACGGATTCGGCGCGCTCGGCATGAATTCGACATGGATGCGACACGGATGGCTGGCGCGATGGGACAGACGAGGTCCTCCGTAGATGCAACATGAGGTATTTGTTAGGGTCCAGCGGTAGCCCCGGTCATCGAGCCCGCTTGCCCCAAACTTGGCCTTGCCGGTTGCGCAGGCCCGAGGGAGGTGCGCAGCACTGGTGCGCGCGGGCATCCCTGGGGCTGCACAAGGCGAAAGGGTCGGGTCATCGGCTATCGGTCGGGTCATCGGCTATCGGCCGGCGCCCAGCGGATAACCTGGGTCACCGCCGAAAAGATGAGATCGGTCTCCATTGATCTTCGGAGGCATCTTCGGTGGCCTGGCGCGCGCGCGCTCTCCCGGAGGACGACCGGCCCGCTGCCCTCACGGGCACGCGCCGACAGGCCGACGTGGACCGCGCCCTGCTGGCCGAGTCGGTGCGGCCAGCGGGCGGGGCGAGAGCACAGGGGGTGGGAGTGCTCGTTCTCGACGTTTCGCGTACGTTCGGGCATCGACGTTCGATCCTTGCCCATCACTGGGCCTCCGCCATCGGTCGTTACGAGTAGGTAGTTCTGGAATGCCAAGGTCAATCTACTACAGTCAACCCGCATAGTAAGGATAGGCAACCTTCCCAAGAGTACCCTTGCATCCTTGCCTCCTCGGCCCATCCTTTGCCGCTTTCGCTGGCCGCGCCCCGCTCGAAAAGCTTCGAAATGGGCGTCCAAGGCCCTTGCATCCTTATCGCGCATCCTTACTATACTGGCTGTACTAGGTAGTAGGCGCCTTACGCGCCCCCTTACGTCAGTCATCGAGTGGTTGTTTCCTCTTTCCTCGTCAGAGGGGGGCGGAGAGCCAATCTGCTTCTGACGCCCTCCTACGGATGGATGCCCCTGTCCTGTTGTTGCCTCCCGCTCTGGCTGCCAGGGGGGGGGCAAGGCATGGATTTTTGTTATCCATGCACCTGGATACCACGTCGATCGCCTACACGTGTCCACACCAGCCCATCCAGAATTGATGCCCAGGCGAGCGACAGAAGAAAGCGGGGCCGGCTGCGCGGGAGTTCGCGTCGGAAGCTTCCTGCGTAAAGCCGCGCGTGCGCGCCTTCTTCTTCTTATTATTACTATGATTATTATTATTATTAATATTATTGTCGGGAGGCTCATGGTGGGCAGGGACGGTGGCGTCCATACTTCTCACCTATGTCCTTTGTGGACCCCCAACGGTTTGTCCGAAATCTGTCGGTACAAATTTGAACCTTTTTCCGGTCGGCCTCCGCCGACGGCCCCGACCGCACTGAAGAAAAATGCAACAGAGCTGCTTGCACAAAATCTGTCGGTACAAGTTTGCGCCCCTTTTTCCGGTCGGCCTGCCGCCCGCCCGGGAATAGGGGAGTAAGTAGCACAGCAATGAGAGATGCGCGCGTCTGTACATCCCATGCGTGTGCATCTGTGTGTGTACGTGTGTGTGTGTGTGTGTGCGTGTCCCCACGAGGAGAATGCGGGCGTGCGCGCAGATCGCGGAGTGGTCGAAAGAGCTCCAAGATCAGAGGCACGCCTGGGCAGAGTCGCTGCATCCGGACGTGAAGAGTGTCATCGGCCACTTGCATGGGCCGTTACTCCAGAAGCTTGTGGCCATGTCGAACCACCCCGATGCAGAGTATTTCAAGTCGCTGTCCGCGGGCCGGCCGGCCCTGGGGCAGATTGAGACTGCAGGTGCGTGCGCGGGGGGGCGGTCGTCTGGAAACGCGGTAAAGCGTTCCGTCTGGGCGGGCAGCGGGGGCATCCGCAAAAGGGGCCTGGCTGCTGGCGGTAAGGCCAGCAACCTGACAATCCCATGGCCGATAGCGAGGTTGGAGGCGGGGTCTTGTGGCAAAGTCGAAACACGATTTCCAATCCTCTTCCTCCCTGTCTTCCGGGGCGTCCACGGTCCCCGTGCCTGGGGTCGGGCAAGCAAAGTGGGGGCTGCCCTCGTTGCCCGCTGTAACAACACAGAAGAGCCGCGCCCCCCCCCCGTGCACGGTGCAGGTATATGGCGAGTGGCGGAGAAACCTGCTCGAGTGAATCTGGGCGACTGGATCAGGGAGGCCCCAGATCGAAATGCCAGTATTGTTGCTGCAGTCAAATCCTCAGGAGATGCACTGCTCGACAAAAAGGCATGGGAGAAGCGGGAAGCTGAGATCGCGACTGGTGCTGCGCAGGGCCCATTCCGTGTCAGCGACGTGGATTTGTCAGCCATCGCAGTGCACCCAAGTTTCCCAGTGTGGGAGCGGGGCTCACAGGGCCAGTGGAAGGCGCGTAACATTGAGAATCTGAAGGCGAGCGGGGCCAACGGGACAGTGCACACCTACGAGTCGTACGCCCCCGACGACTTAGACACGGCGCGGGCGGCCGTCAGGTTCTGCAAGGAGCTTTGGGGCGCCGACGAGCCACTGGCGGGGTTTTCATCGGACTACAGCGGGGCATTCCGGCAGAGCCCATTGTCCCCTTCGCAGATACCGTACATGTGGTCCGCCGTGTGGCACCCAGGCCGCGGAGAACCCGTTCTCCTGAGAAACCTCGGACAGGTGTTCGGGGGCGCGGCCGCTGGAACCCAATTCAATTATGTCCGAGACCCTTCGGCGATGTGTTCGGTGATGCGCCATTTCTTCGACGTCCCCATGCATCATTATAGCGACGACGCTTGGGCAGTGGAGCGTGGGTCAACAGCAGAATGTGCGTGGTTCTGCTGGGTGTGGCTCAACCAGGAAATCGGGTGGCGCCTCGACTTCCCCAAATCGCCGCTCCCGTCCAGCATCTGGAGGTTGTTAGGGGCAGAGCTCCACGTCGGCTGCCCGCGGCCCGTGGCCCGGCTGCCTCGGGACAGAGTGGAGGCGTTGTTGGCGGACCTGGAGGGCTACCTGCGCCGGGGTCGCTTGAGCGCGGCAGAGGCGGGCTCTCTGCGCGGGAGATTAGGCTGGGCGCGATCTTTCTTGTTCGGCCGGCAGGGAGCCGCTGTCCTGGTCCCGCTGCGGCGCAGACAGTTCGACGACAAGGAGCGACGTGGTTTACCGTCTTCTTTGCGAGTTTCCTTGTCCTGGTTCTGGACCGCTGTGTCAGAGCAGTCGGGGCGCGAGGTTCCCTTTGACTTGGACAAGTGGCCCCTCCTGATCACCGTCAGCGACGGGGAAGGCACGGGGCGCGTCGCGGTAGGCATATGGAAGCCCAGCGACCCAGGATTTCGGCCAAGATTGACCGCAGCCGACGTCCCGCAGGAGTGGCTTCGCCGGTGGTCGGAGGACGGCCGGCGCGGCAACGTAATCCAGGAGATCGAAGCAGTCGGGCCCCTACTAGCCCTTGAAACATGGCCTACATTGTTGACGGAGTGCGTGTGGATCCATTTCATCGATAATGAGAGTGCCAAGTTTTCTCTGATCAAAGGGTCCGCCAAAGCCATCCACACCAACGAGGTCGTGTACGCTACTTGGGAGGCATGCCGGGCCCGGCGTCTATATCTTTGGTGGGAACGCGTATCATCGCCGGACAATCCAGTAGACAAGGCTTCCAGAGGTGACCTCAGCGACCGTTACGGCCAGAATTGGGAGATTGTCGAGCCCGTCCTGCCCGCGATGTGGCGCAGGGAGCCGGCTCGGGCGGCGGCGTGGGGGTGAGGCCTGGACACGGCCGCGTGCCCCCCAGCCACCAACACAAACAGCAGAGCATTTTGCCAATGAGAGTCCCAGAAAAGTGGGGAGGTAGGAAGGAAGGAAGGGGAGGGGGATGAGGTACGGGAAGGACGGGAGGATGTATGGTGAGAATTAGTATTATTATTACTATTACTATTATTACTATTATTATTCGTCTTCTTCTTATTCTTATGATTATTATTATTATTATTATCCTTCTTCTTCTTCTTATTCTTCTTCTTCTCCTTCACACGGTGTGCCACGCTGGCGGCCCGCGGAAGCCACCGCGTCAGGTCGCCACGCCATCGTGCGTAAGGCCACTGCCGTTTCGTCGTTCAGGTGAGTTCACTGCCGGGAGAAGGGAAGCAGTCATGCTGATAAAGGTCCGACAGCCCACACCGCGCATGAACGCGCGGCCCCGCCATCGGGGGCCCACATCGCCGATCCATCGGCAATGCACCACCGACTCTGGCTCGATTTTCCCTCCCTCAGGGTGCGTTCAGCTCCCGGCCTTCCAAGGCGCTGTCCATCCATCCATGCATCCTCAGGGTCAGGAGCGAGAGAAGGACGTACATGTACATGAATCCGCGCTGGTTTCGAGAGTGCGCATTGCGCACATGTGCGTATCACGCGGCCTGTCTCGCGGGTCGAGGGGCCGTGTTCATGTACATAGGTGGGCGCGTACGTCCTTTGTGGGCTCCCTACAGGGGTGGGGCTCGAGGCCTCCAGCGGTCTACGCTGTGGGGCAGCCACGGCGTCGGAGGCCCCTCTGCCGGGCCGCGGCAGGGCCCCGGTGCCCCGAGGGTGGAGCTGGCGTGCCGGAGGGGGGAGCGGCGGAGGGGGCGCAGGGGCGGGAGGGGCGGGAAAAGGGGGGGGGGGATGCGCGGAGGGAGGAGGGGGGAGTGAGGAGACCGGGACAGGGCTCGTTTCGAATCCTCCGATTCGATTCGATTCGACTCCGATGGATTCCGATTCCGATTCGATTCGATTTCGGATTCCGATTTGGGCTCCGATTTCTTATTGGACGCATACTAGCCTGCCGATTTCCGCCGATTCGACTTTTCCCGACTCGGCTGCCGATTTCTGCCGATCCGACTTATTTCGATCGCCGATCCGACTTATCGATTCGATTCTGGGCTCCCCTGCCGGGAGGAGGAGGGGGCATCATCCGCAACGTCTTCCCCGTTCTCCTCTGCGTGACCCTCGCGCCCGACCATCGTCCACGTCGGTCCTCCGCCTCCTGCTCCTCCGCCTTCGGTTTCTCCTTCCTGGCTCTTCTTCCTCCCCTTTTTTGTTTGTTGTCGTTCATTGCATCCTTCTCGTCTTCTTTTGTTTTTCTCCTCCGTCGTCCTCTCATCCCACCTACCTCCTCCCAGCGTCGAAAACGAATCTCGGCATCCATGGGCTTTCTCTCACAAGCCCTCGAGAGGCGAATGGCAGCATCAGTGCCAGGGCGTCCAGGATGGCGTCCGCCCTTCAAGTGGTATGCCCTCACCACTCATTCTTAGCCCTCCGCCATGCAGAAGGCCAGCTGCGCATCTACACCTTAGGCGATGCTTAAGAAAACCTAAGTTTTCGTCCAGAGTCTCGATTATTCTTAACTTTTCAATGTAAATCCCAAGATTTTGATAGAAGTTCTGGGTTTTTATTCCAGTTCTGAGACTATGAATTTCTTAACCCAAGATTTCTTAAGCACTTCGCAGGGTGTACGCGCTCCCTTTCCCCCTCGTGCTCGCCGTTGTCCTCGTCCCTGCCTCGCTGCCATCCTATGATGAAGTATTTGTTCTGCCACAGCGGGGCGCCGCAGGTTCGGATGCGGAGGCGCTTGATGCAGGACCAGCGTCGCTGGACGAGCAGCGTCATGGTCGTGTCGGCTCGCCGGGTCATCGAACTTTGGCCAAATTGATTCGGGGGTGGACAGAACCCCCACCCCGACACGTCGATTAGTGAATTGTCCGATCTCGGTTCCTGAGAGGGCGAGGCGGCCGTCATGTTCCAGGCTTGCGCCCGCCAGGTTTGGGCCCGAGGTCCTTTTCACTAAACCACGTTTTACTAAAGGGGGTTCTGTCCATCCCCGATTGATGAAGGAGGTGGAAGAGGAGCAAGAACAGGAGGATGAAGGAGGAGGAGGAGAAGTATTTAGGAGGAGGACATGCGGCCAGGCCGTAAGTGCAAGGGGCTCAGGGATGGTCGCCGAGCACTCTGGAAGCGGCGGCGGCGGCGGAACCTGTCAGCTCCAGGCACACTCGCAACTCGCATCTCGCACTCCTCCCGGACAGCTCGGGCATCCAGCTTTCCCGAATCATCGGGGCTAGGGGTTATCAGGGGTAGCTACAGATTCGCGCCTCGAGGGCCCAGACCGGAGTTCCCCCGGACCGCACCTCTCCCAGACAGTTCGGGCATCCAGATTTCCCGAATCATCGGGGCCAGGGGGTTGTCAGGGACAGCTACGGGTCCGTGCCTCAGGGGCCCAAACTGGAGTTGCCCCATACATCGCAGTTGCCAGATCATTCGGGCGTCCCAGGTTTGGGATTTTTCGAGGGCTTTGGCGCTCGCTCGAGGTCCGGGCGCCAGGCTGCGAACAACAAAGAGCGGCAGCCACACAAATTGCCGGAGGTTTTTTTTTCGGATCTCGCGGATCGGCGCTGGACCCCCCGACGCTGGTCACCGAGCGCGTTCCGCTGCTCGCAGAGAGCCTGCTCGCAAACGTTCGAACAGCATACGTCGGCTTCGATGCAGCTCATCGCAGATCCCTAGGCCATCTGCGAGCAGTTGCCCCGCGGGCAGTGGAGCGCGCGCTCGTCCAGCCTGGCGCGCTTCGCGCGCCAGGGGCGGTGCTGGAGGCGCAGCCACGGGGCGCCCAGCGCCGCTCCGAGAGCGTTGGCGCTGTACCCTTTCGGTTGCGTCAAGTCGGGCCTGCCCCCCTACAGGGGGATTTTCGACGAAAACTTGAGAGCACCCCAGAAATAGTCCAAAAAAATCCAAAAATAGTATGGGAACTATTTTTGAGGCATTCTTGGGGTATTTTTCATTTTTCGTCGAAATCCCCTTGTAGGGGGACACGCCCGACACAAGACTACAGACATCGCACCACATCAGGGCTGGATCTAAACGTTGTCTTCCGTTTTGGATTCGTTTTGCCCTGCCTCTTTCTCCTGTACGTCCTTGGCAAAACCAAATCACAAATAGAGACGAGGTCCGGCAAAACAACGTTTAGGTCTAGCATTGCACCACATGGTTTGCAACACATCGTTTGTACCTCGTGAGGCCTCTTGGGAGCCTTGCGGGCCATCTTGGAGGAGCTCGATCCAAGAAGGGGAGGGTCTCATGCTAGGAGCCCCCCCAGGAGGCCAGAATGGGGCCAACACCTGGTTCAAATAAATGGTTTGCGCCTTCTCGCCGAGGCCGTCTTGGACGCTCCAATGGGTCGCGGAACCCCTCGTGCAGATCCAGGTGGAGGGGGCAGGGGGAGGAATCAAGACATTCTCCGTCCGCAAGGTGTCTCGCGCGCTCTCACCCGCCCTCCCAACACGTAGGTAGCGCCAGGGCCTCAGAATGTTCAGCGGTCGTCTAATGATGGGCAGCTACTGGGAACCATACAGACCCCATGTGCGCGATGGGGCGAGGTGCGCCACGCGTGCCAGGCGCTCCAGGTGCGCCAGGCACCCCTGGAGCCCAAGCGTGCCAGGCACGCCTCGCGCGCCTCGCGCGCCTGATGCGCCACATGTTCCACGTGCGCCATTTGTGCCGCATGGTGCAGCAAGGCCAGGTGCGCCACGTCCGGGGCACGCGCAGAGTGTGCCAGGTGCGCCCGCGCATGTGACAGCACATATCGGGAAACATGTCGGCCCCCACCATCCTTGTCGAAAATCTGTGCACAATCGCGGCGGGGAGGCCATCATGGTTTCTAGTGGGCCTACGCGCAGCAGGCAATGTGCCAGCACCCCCTGTGGTCCTTCTCAAACACCAATGGGCAGTGATCGCGGGGTGACGGCGCATGATCCAGATTTAGCCGCGAAGTGTTTCAAGTATTTTGTTTGACGGGGATTGTGGCCTTCCATGCAGCCTTCCCTGAAACCCCTGGGCCCACAGTAGAAGTTCTGGAAGTCCCAGATAAGCAAATTGTGCCAGGACGGCCCATAATGGCCTCAAGACGGCCCAAGAGGCCCTCAAGACGCCGCAAGACCGTTCCAAGAGAGCCCCCTCGATGGCCCCGAACGGCGAGCATTGTCCCAGTCCCATGGAAGAACGTACATGTTTGGCATGTTGATCGCCGCCGCCCCTTGCCTTCCTGTGTGGCCGAAAGTTGGGCTAGAGCTTGGCCAAGCTATCGGACCATGTGTTCCCCCAGCCATAGTTGAAACCCTTCGGGAAACACGTGAGGAAGAGAATGAGGAGAAGAAGGAAATGGGAGCAGGAGGAAGAGGAGGAGGATGAGGAGGAGGAGGAGGAGGAGGAAAAGGAGTAGACCTCCTGGGAGCCTCTTGGGGCACTCTTCGGGTCTCCTGGGAGCTTCCTGGGAGCCTACTGGAGGCCTCTTGGGGGTCTCCTTCGGCCTCTTCGGAGCCGTTGGGGGCTTGTTTGTTGCCTCTTTGGCTGTCTTAGGGCGTTCCTGGGCCGTCTGATGCCGTCGGGAGCCGTCTTCAGGACCGCTCTGGACCCATTTGGGGCCCTCTTGGGTCGCTACAGGTCCGTGTTGGAGGCCATTTGGGGCGTTATAGAGCCTTCTTTGGCCGTCGTGGGCCCCCTCTGAGCCATCTTGGAGGCCTCTTGCGCCGTCCCGGGGCAGTTTTGGAGTCCTCGTGGGCACCTTGGGGGCGATCTTGGAGGCTTCTTGAGCCGTCTTAGGACTTCGGACGGCTGAAGAGAAGCGAGTGCCAAAATCAATCGAAAGCCGATGAACACAAATAATTGATTTGGGCCTCTTCGGGCTTTCCTGGAAGGCCTCCTGGAGGCCTCTTGGGCCGTCTTCGTGGATTCTTGGGTCTTCTTGGGCCGTCTTGGCGGCTTCTTGGGCGGCATTGGCGGCATCTTGGACACTCTTGGGCCGTCTTGGAGGCCGTTTTGAGTCATCTGGGGCGAGTCTGGAGACCATCGTGGCAGTCTTAGAGGCCGTCTAGGCCGTCTTGGCGACATTTGTTGTGCAGCTCAGCGGCTGTCCGCTTGGCCGGCACGCTTTGCCGAAGCCCTGGGGCGGAGTTTACAACACCAAAAACATGATTTGAAGTTCAGTCGTTCACTTGATCGATGCGTACTGCAAGCCTCACCGCTTGCAGGTCCGCTCGAGCTATTCAGCAGAGACACTAGCAGCTGCCCACAACTTGGAGGACTGTTACCCCACGATCGTGACTCTGCACGAGCTCCATGCAGGGCCGCTAACTCCCACTCAGTTGAAAGACATACTTGAGTTGGGTGAGCTGGGCATCAAGGTCACTTTGACCATTGATGCTGAGTTTTTTGTTTTTTTTTAAAAGTCCTTGTCAAGCAAAGACTTGAAGAAGCCGGCTGAGTGCACCCTTTTAGTACACGTTAGCTGGCTACGACAGATGATGGAGCGAGGAATCGTGCACAGTATTCAGTGGTGTGACACCCGCGATCTGATTGCGGACGGTCACACCAAGGGGAGCATCGACAGAGAAATGCTCCTACAGGTCATGGGAGGTACACAATCCTTCAAAAATGGCTTAAAGCGTCAAACTCACCATCGGGCTGGCCAGACATCTCGTTCTGTAGCCGCCTGAAGGGTATTCGTATGCACCGTATAGCGCAGGCAAGGCAACGTGCGTGCGGGTCCACCTTCCTTACGGCCCCGCCCTTTTGCTGCCCTTTTTGTGAAACAGTCGCTGTTGTACCTGCTGTATAGAAGCGGTTGATTCACGCTTCGTCTCCCTCCCACCCGACTCTAAAGTGAGTTGGGCGTTGCATGTGAGTGGAGACGATCGTGCATCCGCGGCTGCTTGGCTCGAAGCGGCCGGCCGCCCAGATCCGATTACACCTCAGCGCGAGGTGTACCATTTGCCACCGATACCACAATTGATTGAGATGGCTCGCCCTTTACTATTGGGACTATCGCTACTACGGTGCAACAGAGCGGGAGCTGGGCTTCGCCTAATGCGAAGCTGCTGGCTTGGGCCTCCCAGCCCCTTTCAAACTCCGCCTAGGAGGATCGAGCTTCGGGGACTGGGGCAGGTGGCGGACATGAAGAGAATAGGCCCCCTTTGGGGGATTCATATAATCTCCACCTGCGCCGCCCGCCGGGGTCCCATACTCCCAGGACGTCGGATCTCTAGACGGTGGATATGGTGTGTCCCCGCCCCGCAAGGGAGGACATCCAAATGTTTCACACGCCGGTTCACCCCTGGCAAGCGGGGGTCGGCGGATCTGGAGCTTCCTCTCGGCACATCGTCATCGATCGCCCCCCCGAGTCATGGATCTGCAGAAGAAGGGTCGGTGACTCATTACGCCTGGTGGGATGTGGTCATACCTTCTGATATGTGAGTGCACTTGCGGCCCCTTGAGTCTTGCGATCAAGCTGCGGGTGGATCGGCGGGATGTGTGTTCGAGCATGAGGGTTGACTCTGACATTCAGCCGCGCCCCATGTTGCACCACACGCAGAGCACACCGAGAGCGCAGGAGAGCATTGCTCGGATTCTACCCGGACAGACGTGTTGTTGTGCGCTCCTTCGCGCCATATTCGGATTTTCATGTTTGCGATGTGACGACAACGACGCCAAAACGCACCATGCTTTACCACGAGCTTGACGGCTGGCCACCTGAGAATTACCCAAATGTGCGCGCAGACCGCTGTGGCTACGCGCGGGCCTGGGGCGCGGTGAGAATCCCGAGCCGAATGCTTCGCGCCAGGTTCTGGCGTTCATCTCCCTCCTGTTCCTCACGCTGGCCCGCTGCGGCAAGCGCGCCATCGACCTGGGCGTCCAGAGCGCGCTGGGGGGGCCCAACCGGGAGTTGCTGGGCAGGCGGCCGCCTCTCTTCACTTTGCGCTGGCCCCCGAGGCCCCTTTTGAAGAACGACCGCATGCACGCAAGCTTTTTGATCGCAGGTCGATAGACCTCCTACCCGCTGACACGTCGAACAGCGAATCTGCCGTTTTCGGTTCACGAGAGGGTGTCGCGGCCGTCATTTCTGTGGGTCCAGGTCCGTCGGTTTCGGTCCTAGGTCGTTTTCATTACAGGGTGGTTTACTAAAGGGAGGTGTTTGTCCACCGCCGAGTTGAGTTTTTGGAGTTTGGGAATGGTTTTTGGAGTTTTGGGGTTCTACATTAATTACATAAGCTGTTGGAGTTCTGCGCACATTTCGTGGGCGCTGGGCTCTCCTGGCGGCGCCTCCAGCGCCGCCCCTGGCGCGCAGAGCGCGCCAGGGAGGGTGACCCTGCGCGCGCGGAGCTCCGAAAGGTTCTGCTGATTCTGCAGTTCGTTTCCCTTCTATTCCCGTCTCCCTATGGCACCTCATCGGGTTTGGGAGCGGGCGGGCAATCTAGGCTCTCCCAGTCCCCCTCCTCCCTCTGCGCCTTTCCCCACCCCCTCCCACGTTACCTCTCCTCCCCGTCTCCCCTCCCGCGGCTTCGCCCTCCCCTCCCCCCTCGCTCGCATACGGGCGTCAAGGCGGACTAGATGTCACAAACAAAAACACTTGTTCCCAATTTGGCTTGCCTACGGGGGTCTTACTTGGTTAAGTTTTGGTGCCTCGTACTCTTACGTTGCCCGTCACCTGGAGGTTCCTCAGTGTCCTCGGGGTCCTCGGGCCATCGCGTGCCAAGCAACGCCAAGTAATGTGAAACAATCCCAAGCAGTGCCCAGCAATGCCAAGCAATGCCAAGCACTGCGCCCATGCAAGAGGAAGCTTTCCCCTAATTTTGGTCGCGCCAGCTTCATTGTTGTGGCGGGGCTCCGGGCCCACACCGCGTTCGGGCAAGAGGATTCGGCGGCGCGTCGAAGGGGGAAGTGATAGCGGACATGCCTTCTCGGAAGGTAGCAGGGCGTCTCAGAAGCTTTCCAGCCTTCTGAGAAGCCCTCCGTGGCTTCGGAGAGCAGGGGTTCGTAGAGGGGAGGGGGCTATCCCAAGGTTGGGATAGAGAACGAACCCAGCTGGATGCTCGCAATTCCTCCCTCTAAGGGCCATTCAGAACGACGCTCCTCTGACCCCACCTCTGCCCCATACTCTGCCTTCACGCCCTCTCGAGGAGACGGCGTGGAGCTTCTCAGAAGGCCAGAGGCCATATGAGCCTTCTCAGGGAGCCCGCCCCCGCTGGTCTGCCCGTCCTGCGGGCCGACTTCGAGAGCGACTCGTCGCAGCCGGCGTGAGGGGGGCGTCGGCGCCGATGGTCGACATCGGCCCCGCTTTGGGGCGCGGTCGGGGGGGCCGTGCCGCTCCGCACTGCTCTCGCGTGCCTCTTCGGGGAGGAGGAGGAGGAGGAGGAGGAGGAGGAGGAGGAGGAGGAGGAACAGGAGGGGGAGGAGGAGGAGGAGGAGGAGGAGGAATAGGAGGAGGAGGAGGAATAGGAGGAGGAGGAGGAGGAGGAGGAGGAGGAATAGGAGGGGGAGCCTTCTGACCCCCTCTGGGCGCGCCGCCGCAACCATCGGGAGAGGGCCCGCCTCTTCCCGCGAGCACCGCTCGGGGTGGTGAGGCGGCCACCCGCCGCCGCGCGCGCAGCCGCAGGGGCAGCGGCCTCCCGTGCGCACGCCCCTGCTCGCGGCCCTCCTCCTCCTCCTCCCTCCTCCTAGCCGTTCTGGCCCAGTGTTTTGGGTTTGGTGCAGCTGTCTTCAGGACGGCGCCGCTGCACCGAGCTAACTTGGCTCGTTCGATCAGCTCCAGAGGGAGCAGAGAGAACCACGAAGCAGGTACCGTTGCCGCGATGGCGCCTGCGCCCCAGCCAGCGGTTTGTGGCGCCCCAGGAAAACAGGCGGGTTGGCAGCCCGATCGTCTCCACAGCTCGACGGGGCTGTGGGAGAGACTCTTGCCCTGTGGTTGGCCAGCCACAGTAGGTGCGGGCCCGCCGTACCACCCCTGAGAGGCCCGATGGGGTTACTCAAAGGGGTCCCCCGACGTGGGGGGCGCGGGAACTGAAGTCCTTGGGCAGCGGGACCTCCGCTGCTTGAGGCCGGCGGCCAAGTGGGGGTGGTGCCGGTGGCCGTGTCTCGGGGTGGCATCCCGAGGCACCTCGCAACGGCGGCGCGGATAACGCCGGGGGCGGTCCGTGCCGCCGTTCGTGTTGCGAGGTCCGACTGCCTGTGAATTCATGCAGGCACCTTGGGCACCTCCTTTCGGGTTGTGTCGCCCAGGTGTTCTGTCCGGGCCCCAAAAAAAACCCAGCCAGCGGTGCTCCGCGGCCCGAGGCGGCCCATCTGGGCATGTGGAAGATGTTCAGCGGCGGCGAACTGGGCGTCGAGAGTCAAATTTGCATGTGGGAATGACGCGCCACTTCGGATCAGGAAGGCCGTTCGGGATGCGCACAACAAGATCATCCAGGAAGCTGGCGGCCAGCCACTTTCGACATCGGCGAACAAGAGCAAGCAGAACCATAATGACACGAGCAAGCGGCTGGCGGAGTTGGAAAAGATGCCTCGAGAGCTCTGCGGCAAGGGTGGCGGCGGTGTGCCGCAGAAGACGGCTGCAGAGGCCCCGCGTCCATGGAGCAACAAGGCGGCGCCCAACAAGGACACGCTGGAGCCGATCAAGCTCGAGGACGGTGATAAAGTCAAGCGTGAGAAGCTGGCCGCGCAGCTTGTGCAGCACGAGACGGCGCTCAAGACCCTCCCTGGTCAGGATGACGATCCCATCCGAGCGGCCATGTTGGAAAAGGTCAAGGGCGTCAAGGATCAGCAGCGTGCGCTGCGCACGCCTGGGATCGCCCATAGGAGGACGGCTCAGGGCTTGCACGAGGCCCGCGCTGCGCGCGACAGGATGGAAGCAGAGATTTCTGAGAAGACGGAGCAGCTTGAGAAGCTGCAGGAGTCTTTGGCGGCGCGCAAGGCGCAGTTGGAGGCCAAGAAGATCGAGATCGACACGCTCGATGCAGAGTACAAACGGAGGGCAGCCCTCATCGTTGACGGCGCGACTGCGGCGGCCGCGGGCGGTGATGGCTCCAATGACTCAGAGATAAAGCTGGAGGTGCAGCCTGAGGGGACCGAGGATCCAGAGCTGCAGGCCTTTCTGCAGCCCGACCAGCGGAAGAAGTTGCAGACGATCCTCGCGGGCAAGGTCAAGGTTGCAGGTGCTGCTGCTGGTGGCAGTGCTGATACTCCAATGCTTCAGGCCCCTGACGCAGGTGATGGAGAGGAAGAGAAGAAGGAACCCGTCAAGCGTGCCTTCGATGAGCTATCAGAGGAGGAGGCTAAGCTACTCTTCGACTCCAAGGGTGACTTCGCCGAGTTCCAGGGGAAGCTCAGAGAAATGGCTAAGACGCAGCGGTGCTCCTAATGTAGTCGAGATGCACTCAGAGTTGGCGAACATACGCGTGTCTGGACCCCCCTCTCCTTGGGCAAGTCGAGGTTATCCAACAGCCTGCGATTCAGGGATTGTACACGATCGAGTCTTTCAGCGCCAACGGTGGCCGTCAAACATTGAAAGACAAAACCACCAGATCTAACGCGCATGTGATTTGGTTGCAGGAGATTGGTTACCGCAGCGATTCGATTGAAGCCATATATCCGTGGACCTCTGCTCGGGGGTGGAAGATGATGGCGCTCCCAGGTGCCCCCGCGAAAGGCATCGCGTCGTCAGGACTGGCGATCCTAGCCGGCAGCGTTTTTGGGCTCCGAGCGCATCCTGGCTTACCTCATGAAGTCGTACCTCATCGGCTCCAACATGCAGTGTTAGATATCCCAGGATAGCCAGCGATATCGGTCATGAATGCGCACCTCAAGGACTCAATTGGGGCCACAGGGGTCAATGCAGCGCTGCTCGCGCAAATGGGATCCATCTGCAGTAATAGACCTGGGCCATGTCTAGGAGGGGCTGACTGGAATATCCAAGTCGACGAGTTGGAAGCCTCAGAGCTCCCCAGGATGGCCAGTGTCACGATGGCGGCCCCGAAGCAGATCACATGCCGAGGGGGAACGGGATCGACAGTCATCGACTACTTTGCGGTGAATGATGTGCTAATGAGGGGTTATCGCGGGGTCGAAGCGGATATGGCGTGGAGCTAGAAGCCTCGCAGGCCAGTGTTGATGAATATTGTTGGTAATGGCATGAAGGTACAGCATGTCGTGTACACGGTGACCCCGACGCTGCCAGTGGATCAAATCATAGGCCCGCGCAAGAAGCCGACTGACTGGTCTACACTACGGGCGCTGGCGCAAGCATGCACGGAGATTGCGCGCGATGACCATTGCAACGTGGAGGTGGTTTGGAATTTTTCATCCAGAGCGTGGGCTCGGTTCGCTGTGCAGGCTGCGAAGGTCATCGCTGATTCGACGGGCGCCGATCTTCGTGAGCCAGATGCGTTTGGTCTTAATCTTCGGCCTCGATGGGTGGATGTGACGTATCAAGAGAACTCAGATACCAAGGTCAAAGCTGAGGCCGAGGGGTGGCAGTGGCTCCCGCACTCAATCGGCACCATCCTGCAGGTATACCAGGGTACGACGCATATGGATGAGTGCTCGGAGGAGGCAAGCAGTTTCTTATCAACGGAGTACTGTGGTCAAGGATTCAGTGGGCGACTAGATAGTACTGTGGCTCAAGCCAGAAGCGAAGTGGGAGCCATTCCAATGAATTGTCGCCGCCTGGGACAGTTTTTGGATCATATGCGTGATGATGTGGAGCAAGCTCAGAACGCACTTGGACGCGACGCTGACCGCCAAGGGGTTGAATGGTGCGTTGAAGCCTCAGCTAAAGGGGCGAGGGCTCTCCACAAGGTTACCGAGGTGAAGGCGATCCCCACGCCAGTGGTGGTCAATCATGGATATGTTGTTGCTGGTGTTCCTGTCACAGTAGTGAAGAAGGAAGTAGAGACTATCGG